AAAATCTGGGAATTTTGGGTAAGAAATGGGAAATTTTTGGGAAAAATGGGGGAAAAGTGGAAAATTTGGGGTAAAAATTTGGGAATTTTGGGTAAAAATAGAAATTTTGGGGGAAAAAATGGGAAATTTGGATAAAAAATGAAGATTTTTGGTAAAAAATGGGGAATTTTGGGGCTTTTTTGGGGAAAAAGTTGGAACTTTTTGGGGAATTTTTTGGATTTTTTGGGGATTTTTTGGTGGCTTTTGGGGAAAATTTTGAGGATTTTGGGGATTTTGGAGGATTTTGGGGAATTTGAGTGAATTTGGTGAATTTTGGGCAAAAATTTTGATTTTTTTTCCCAAATTTTTGGGGTGAAATTCCCAAATTTTTTAGGCGTCTCAAGGATGTCCCCGATTGGAGCTTCGCAGGTAAAAAATGGGAATTTTGGGAAGAAAAATGGGAAATTTGGGATAAAAAATGGATTTTTTTTGAAAGAAAATGGTTTTTTTAAGGGAAAAAAGGGGAATTTTGGGTAAAAAAAGGGAATTTGAGGGAAAAAATGGGAACTTTTTGAGAAAAAAGTGAATTTTTGGAAAATTTGGGGATTTTGGGACAAACAAAAGGAATTTTGGGGAGAAAATTGGGATTTTTTTTAAATTGGGATTTTTGTTTGAAAATTGGGGATTTTGGGATAAAAAATTGGGAATTTTGGGATTTAAAAATGGGAATTTTGGGGTAAACAAAATGAATTTTTTGGGGGAAAAAGTGGGAATTTTGGGTGGAAAAATTGGGGATTTTTTTTTGAAAATTGGGAATTTTGAGGTAAAAACAGTGAATTTTGGGTTTTTCCAGACGGACGCCCCTCCCCCCCCTGGAGGGGACAAATCCGGAGACGCCGCGAGAACGGAGAAATTGTGGTGAGAAAAAAATGGGAAAAAATGGGGAAAAATGAGGAAAAAATGGGAAAAAATGGGAAAAACCACTTTTTTCACCCATTTTTTTCTGATTTTCCCCCATTTTTTCCCAAAATTTTCCCAATTTTTTTCCCAATTTTTCCCCATTTTCTTCCCATTTTTCCCATTTTTCCCCAATTTTTTCTCAATTTTTCCCCATTTTTAGTCCTTTTTTTGGTCTTTTTTTTATCAATTTTTTTGGTCATTTTTTGTTCAAATTTCACCCAAATTTTGCCCAAATTTCCCCCAAAATCCCCTCCCAGTATAAACCAGTTCAAACCAGTATAAACCAGTATAAACAACCCATTTAAAACCAATTTTTCTCCTTTTTTCCCTGTTTTTTTCCCCATTTTTTATCATTTTTGTCCCAAATTTTCCCAAATTTTGCCCAAATTTCTCTGAATTTTCCCCAAATTTTTCCTCCATCCCCTCCCAGTATAAACCAGTCCAAACCAGTCCAAACCAGTATAAACCAGTATAAAAAACCCCATTTAAAACCATTTATTTCCATATTTTTACCATTTTTCCCCATTTTTTTCCCAAATTTTCCTAAATTTTTACCAAATTTCGCCAAATTTCCCTCAAAATCCCCTCCCAGTATAAACCAGTATAAAAATCCCATTTAAAACCAATTTTTCTCCTTTTCCCTGTTTTTTTCCCCATTTTTTATCATTTTTTTCCCAAATTTTCCCAAATTTTGCCCAAATTTCACCGAATTTACCCCAAATTTTTCACCAAATCCCCTCCCAGTCCAAACCAGTATAAACCATTATAAACCAGTACAAATCAGTTTAAAAAATCCCATTTAAAACCAATTTTTTCCCCATTTTTTCTCCATTTTTTTGTTATTGTTTACCCAAATTTTGCCCAAATTTCACCGAATTTACCCCAAATTTCCCCCAAAATCCCCTCCCAGTATAAACCAGTATAAACCAGTATAAACCAGTATAAAAATCCCATTTTTTCCCATTTTTTTATCATTTTTTCCCAGTTTTCCTAAATTTTCCCCATTTTTTCCCAAATTTCACCCAAATTTTGCCCAAATTTTCCTCAATTTTTACCCAAATTTTGCCCAAATTTCACCCCAAATCCCCTCCCAGTATAAACCAGTATAAACCAGCACAAACCAGTATCAAATTCTCACTTTAAAACAAATTTTTTCCATTTTTTTATCATTTTTGCCCAAATTTTGCTCCAATTTTCCTCAAATTTTACCAAATTTTGCCAAATTTTCCCCAAAATCCCCTCCCAGTATAAACCAGTAACTCCCAGTTCGTTTCAGCTCCGCATCCGCGCCCTCAGCAAATCCCTGGAAATGGCGAAGAAAACAGAGAGAGGTGAAAATGGGGAAAAAATGGGAAAAATGGGAAAAAATGGAGGAAAAATGGGAAAAAAATGGGGAAAATAATTGGGAAAAAATTAGGAAAAAATGGGGGAAAATTTGGGGAAAA